CGGGGCAAGGGGGCCTACTTATAGCCTGAGGGCGGTAGGATTTTGCCACCTCTATTGACAAACGTGGCGAACGACAAAGCGATCAGAGGGATATCAGCTTGTTTTCCATGGTTCTTTTCTTCATGAAGTGGCAACGTTGGTATTATCTGCTGGAAATCTGATAAAAATGGGTGCATAACGGGCTATTTCCCTGGGTAACTTGTCTATGTAGGTCTTGTATGTAGTACATATATTATGCAAAGGTGCCTTATACTATATAAATCAGGCTTGAACTCATGCTGGTGATTCACGGATGATATCCCTACGTTGAAAAAGAAACAGCTCACGGAAGAAGAATCAGATGTTCACTATACACAGGCTTGTTTGAAGCAGTAGGGGTAGGGAAAAAAAACAGGCACAAAAAGGAGAATGACAAGACATAATAGCACAACGCCATGGGAAGAAAACATGGAGCATTTGGTACACCCTAGCCAGCGTCGAAAGTTCCAGGGTTTATACATCACATCAAGGAAAATAGGTGGTTCCTCTTTTCTGATTTTGCCCCCGGCGAATCTAACCATCTAAGAGGGCGCCATGGGAAGGTTTTCTTCGGGTTTGGTTTTTTCTTTTTTATTATTGCGTGGCCAATATTGTTTACCGGTCAACCTCACCGAACACAAGATCCATAGTACCTAGAGATTCAGTGTCAGAAGATTGAATGGAATAAGAGGAGGGGCAAAAGACTTACCGATAATGGCGACAGCATCGGCGAGCAGGTGACCACGGGACACCTGATCGAAGCCACCCAAGTGGGCGAAACCAGGAGCACGGATCTTGCAACGGTATGGGCGCTCACTGCCGTCACTGACCAGGAAGACAGCCATCTCGCCCTTGGGGGCCTCGATGGCTGAGTAGGTCTCACCAGGGGGGACGGAGTAACCCTTGGTGAAGAGAAGGAAGTGGTGAATGAGAGCCTCCATGTTCTCCTTCATGGCGGCACGGGGCGGGGGGGAGATCTTGTAGTCCTCCACGCGGACCGGACCGGCGGGCATCTTGTTCAGGCACTGGTGGATGATACGGAGGGACTGACGGAACTCCTCCATGCGGCAGAGGTAACGGTCGTAGCAGTCACCGTTGACACCGACGGGGACGTCGAACTCAACCTGGTCATAGGCATCGTACGGCTGCGACTTGCGGATATCATAGGGGACACCCGAGCCACGGAGCATGACACCGGTGAAACTCATATTGAGCGCATCGGCGGCGTTAACAACACCGACACCCTGGGTTCTGGCCTTCCAGATACGGTTATCCGTGAGCAGCTCCTCAGTCTCGTCAATGCGGTCACCGAACTGAGTGGCCCACTGGTAGATGTCGTCCAAAAGACCAATGGGGATATCCTGCGAAACACCACCGGGGCGAACGTAGGCAGCGTGGAGACGGGCACCAGAGACACGCTCGTAGAATTCCTAAAGCACCCGAACTGTCAGTAAATAAGACCTGGGCGCAATGGCTTTTCGAAGCTCTCAATTACTCACCATAAGCTTCTCACGCTCCTCGAAACCCCACAGGAAAGGAGTCAGGGCGCCGACATCCATTGCGTGGGACAAGACGGACATGAGGTGGTTCAGGATTCGGGTCATCTCGCCGAACAAGGTACGGATCCACTTGGCACGTTCAGGGATCTCGACGTTCAAGAGCTTCTCAACAGCCAAGGAGAAGCACTGCTCGTTCGTCATCATGGAGACGTAGTCCAATCGGTCAAAGTAAGGCAGAGCCTGCATGTAGGTCTTGTACTCAATCAACTTCTCGGTACCACGGTGAAGCAAACCGACGTGGGGATCGGAGCGAACAATCTCTTCACCATTAAGTTCCAGAATCAACCGGAGCACACCGTGAGCAGCGGGATGCTGAGGACCGAAGTTGACAGTGTAGTGACGGATCTTGCGGTCGATCCCTTCGGCCTCGGATTCAAGGCCAGCAGCCTCGGGGTCCTCGGGAACACCCTTGTTGGCGAGGGAGGTGAAGGTCGGGTCGGTCGGCACAAGTCGTGTGGCCTGGTAGCTAGTAGCCTCTGCCTGGCGGCGAGGAACAGAAGTGGCTATCGAGCGGGAACGAGGAATGGATGTGTTGAGCGAGGAGGGGCGGAGGCAGAGCCTTTTGGGCGCATTGCCCGCTAGGCGGGCGAAAGTAGCGGCCATGGAGGATAGAGAATTGGAGGTCCAAGAGGGAAAAGAGGGGAGATGGTCCTCAATCCGGGCGCATTCAATGGGTGGATATGGCTCGCTACGGATAGGGAACTCGCTCAAGGTCTCAAGTTGGGAGTCGCATTTTGGCTCGTCACGTGAAGAGCTGTCGGGTCATCAGCCGTGCGCTGGTTGGCCTGAAGGGGCCACTATAATGTGTGGCTGATGGCTCCGCGCTAGCCTTTCTTTGGTTTAGCTCCGTGCATTCCTCACACAATTTTCTATTTCTGGATTATGTAATACGTCATTTTCTGTGCAGAATAAAGTCCTCCTTGCTGCCTCAGGCAAACTAGAAAATTGCTTCAAGAAATCTCTCTTATCAGCGACCACGGATTTTACCATCAACCTTCACCGGACCCTATATTGTTGCTCACCATGGCGCCTCTTGTTCCCTCGCAGGAGGAGCTGCAGCGCCGCCGTGTATGTCTTTAGTAATGATTTCATGCAGCTGAGAAATACTAATCGTCCTAGATTATCGGCATCAATGCGGAGACCGTCACCAATATCCCCTCCACAGATTTTCCTGGCCATTGGCCCGGAGAGTCGCATGGGTGGGCACTCGACGAATTCAAGGATGTATGTGTTGAAACATCACCAGGAAGGTATACGCTACTGGATTCAACCAATTCTGACCATTCATATCCAACAGAATTTCCAGGTCGAATTCCACCGCAATGAGCGGTTCGAGGCTTCCTTCTCGCTGATCGGTCTTGACGCCGCAGTCGCCAACGCTTTCCGTCGTATCCTTATGGCCGAGATCCCCACAATCGCCATTGAAGACTGCTTCATTCACAACAACACTTCCGTCATTCAAGACGAAGTGCTCGCATCACGACTGGGCCTGATCCCCCTCAAGGGTTCTATCGAGGGAATCAACTGGATGCACTGGTTCAAAAAGGCGTCCGAAGACGGAACTGAAGAGGAAGACGGCCCCTGCGACTTCAACACCATTGTGCTTCACCTCGACGTGGAATGCTACAAGAACGAGTACGCAGACAAGGACGAGCAGGACCCCCGCAAGCTGTACACCAATGCCCATGTTTACGCCAAGGACCTCATGTACATGCCCGTCGGTCGTCAGGAACAGTACTTCGTCGGTGACGGTGCTATCGCGCCTGTCAACCCTGACATTCTGATCGCCAAGCTCCGTCCTGGCCAGAAGATCGAGATGGAACTCCACTGCCAGAAGGGTATCGGTGCCGATCACGCCAAGTTTTCACCAGTGGCTACCGCTTCATACCGTCTCTTGCCTGATATTAAGATCGAGCGTCCCATCATTGGCGACGATGCGAAGAAGTTTGCCAAATGCTTCCCTAAGGGTGTGATTGGCCTTGAGCCCGTCACATCTGAAGAGGCCGCGCAGCCTGGAAGTGGATACGAGGGCCACGCCGGCGAGCAGAAGGCCGTCGTGAAGGATGCGTTCAATGATACTGTCAGCAGAGAGTGTCTGCGTCACGAGGAGTTCCAGGGTAAGGTCAAGCTAGGACGAGTGCGGGACCACTTCATCTTCAACGTGGAGAGCACCGGTCAATTTGAGAGTGACATGCTCTTCCTAGAGGCTGTCAAGGTCATGAAGCTGAAGTGCAACCGGTGGAAGAGAGGTCTGACCGATCTGATGGGTTGATCAAAGGGTATTTTCTCTGCTATACCTTATATATGCATTCTTTGGCGTTGGTTTTCTTTTTTTTTTTTTTGGCTGCCTTTGCGCTGTAC